GACATTCACATCACCACACAATTTTTCTTACCACACATGGGCTCCTATTTTTGTTAATTTTAATTATACTTTATCAAATGCAAGAGACTCCACCAATTGCAAAATATACCACATGATGCTCCTTTAAATGTATAATTTAAAAAATTTAGTTATTATTTTTATTTTATGTGTATGGGTGTATTGCCTGCATGTGTATAAGTGCACCTGTGTCATGCAATGCCCATGGAGACCAGAAAAGGGCATCAGATCCCTTGAAACTGGAGTTTTGGATTGTTGTTAGCCACCAGGTGGGTGCTAGGAATTGAACTCAGGTCCTCTGGAAGAACAACAAGTATTCTTAACTGATGGGCCATCTCTCCAGCCCCTAAATGTATAAATTTCATTTTCTACTCACTACAGACTTGTGTGGACCTAGACTGTGCCACAGGCCAGTCTTCTGTATACCTTACACATATGAAGCACATACTAAAATAAATTGAACACAGCATTCTTTCACATGCAGAGTCAGATTCTCCCAACTCCCTTTTTCACTTGATCATCCATGTCCAGGTTTTCCAAAATAGCATTGATCCACACATTCAGAGATGTGCTTTTTAAATTTTAATTGCATTGATTAATAAATTATACACGTTCATGGGATTCAATGTGTCACATCATACATACACACTTTGTGGAATGAGCAGGCTAACACGCATATGTGCTTCCTCACATACTTTTCATTTCTTTATGCCAAAGATGTCTAACTTCCAGCATTTACTAGCAGCATCTCTGTCTCCAGGATTTGCTTGATTCTGCAACACTGGTGCATGTGTTTTCTTGATCTAACCAGCAGGTACCAACAAAAGCTTTCAGGCAACAATCAGAAATAGTGACTAAGTTTGCCATGCTGTCTAATGGGAATAACAGCCAGGTTTTCTTATGAGCTGAAGATGAGGAAATCTATACAACTGCTACTTGGGCATGAGGATCAAAAGAAAATGTGGTATACATACACAATGGAGTATTATTCAGCCATTAAGATGACAGAGTTATGTTATTTGCAGGAAAATAGATGGAACTGGAGATCATCATGTTAAGGAAAATAAGCCAGGCCCAGAAAGACAAGTATGTTTTCTCTCATATGTGGAATGTAGACTTAAAAATAAAAAGATCTGAAACCAGGGGAGTAGAAGTACTATTTGGGAAGAGGAAGGGGACCAGGAGGAACAAGGAGGGACATCAGGAGAGAGGAATGACATCAGGAGAGAGGAATGAAAGAGTGAATAAAATCAAAGTGCACAAAGTCAGTGCAGGAGGATGTCACAATGAAACCATTACTTTGTTAATGAATGTATGCTAAAGAGAGATGCATCTTATAAGATGCATCCCAGCTTTAGAGTAAATGTTCAAATGCGAAAGAAGGGTGTTTGTGTGTCTGCATGTGTATAAATATATGTGTGTGCATGCATATTAGTGTGTTCTAGTTCATGTGTGTGCAGGGGCATATGCACATGTGTGGGTGTACATGTGGAGGTCAGCAGCCATCTTTGGGTTTTGATTTTTATATATTTATTTATTTTTATTTTATATGTATGTTTGCCTGGGTATATGTAAGTGTATCCATGTCATACAATACTTATGAAGGACAGAAGGCAGCACTGGATTCCCTGGAACTGGAGTCATGGACAGTTTTAACCACCATGTAGATGCTGGGAACTGAACCTGTCCTCTGTAAGAGCAGCTAGTGCTCTTAACCACCTCTGGCTTTGTTTTTTGAGACAGTGTCTCTCAGTGGCCTGGGGCTTGCCAGTTAGGCTGCACTGGCTGGCAGTACAGGAGTTTGATGACCAAATTCACTGATTCACTGTTCTTTCTCAATCAAGTGGATCTTTTGATGCATTCATCCCTTGTTCTATGCTCTGTGCCGCTTAGGCTTGGGCAATTCACAGAGAATCTCTGCGTGTGACCAGTGGTGTAACTCTGTAATAATCTCTGTTGAAAAAGAAGCTATTTTGATGGGTGGTGACAAGGATACTTGTCTGTAAATTTAAGGATCCGTATTTTGCACACAGTAAGAAATTTCATTTGTCTAGAGATATGAGAGCCTTGGGTTTTCTCTAAGATCTATGACCTCTCCAGCTATGTGTATTTAAACAAATGTCTATAAGAAACACACAATGAACTAGAGGCAGTACAATGTATTCATCTTAAAACAGGAAACACTCCAAAGAGCTAATAACAAAATGAAAGCAATCAATAGAAAGAGAATGGAATAGAAAGCAATCTCCTCCTGGAGAAAGCATGCAAGAAAAGGTCCCTAAAGGCAAACACAGTGTAGCATGCAATTCTAAGGGCTTCGCTAATTAACTCTCAAACCATTGTCACATAGCGAGGAAGAGAATCTTTTTGAAATCTGACTCTGGTGTGGTAAGCTTTGCCAGAAAGGAAATTAACTTTGTAACTGAAGCAGAAACACTGTGTATAGCCATGTCTGCTCTTTGCTGTCACCTACAATAACGGAACATTCCTCTCCATGTCTTCCTGGGAGTGCAAACTCAACTCAGAGTAGCAAAATGCAGAAGGTAGCTGATGAAAGACTGAGCACTGGGTGTGGCAGCACACACCTGTCATCCCAGCATGGGACATGGGAGCACGAGGAAGGAGAGCTGAAAGCCAGCAAAGAAAGAATTTGTGCCAGAGCCACAGCCCAGCCCAGCCTTAGCAACAGTAATGAACAGACAGAGGCTTAGAGGGAATTCTGAAAAGCAACAATACTCTAAAGATGTAATACTTTTCTAACTCTTCCTAATATTTCTGCCTAAAAGAAGGACAAAGATACTCTGAGGCACAGAGGGCAGAGCCCAAAGGTCTATAGTCTGCAAATGGTATGAATTCCCTTGGTTTCAAAAGTGACTCTTTTTTTATTTCCTTTCTAAGCTTCTTGTTCAAAGGTTTGTTCATATCCAATTTACATAAGGTCACAAGTAAAGACAGAATAATATTGATAAAGTATTTGTTTTGATTGATCAAAGTCTTCTATGTATATATTTATCAAAGTTATATTTCAAAAAGACACCATTTTTTTCCTGACAATTTAAAAATAATTATTTTCATTCAAAAAGTAATTCATATTGTATGGTAGCCTGTGCCTATAATCCCAACACTGAAAAAGATAAAGCAAGAGTTTCACCCCAAGCTCAGAGACAATGTGGTCTATATTCCAAGTTCCAGGCCAGCCTGGGCTACATAGCAAGAGCCTATGTCAAGAAATAAAAACAAACAAAACACAGAATTCGTGTTCATTACACAAAAGCTTAAAAATACAGAAAACATAAGAAAGAAAATAAAAAGCATTCACAAGCTATCACCTAGACATTTTGGTGTGCAAAATAATTTTAAATTATTACAGGTAGTATTTTTCAAAGAATTTAAAGAAAACATGTAGTTGTTCTAGATTGTTATAAAAGTTCCAAGGATATATTTTTTAAATAAAATAACTGAAACTGTATTTACAGATGATTATTTTATTTAGAAAAAGATATTTAAAAGAATTATGGACAAGATCTTTAAAATTTAAAGAGTGGTTAATATCAAATCAACTAATCACCATTATCATAGAGAAATTACAATTGAAAATGTACAGATTCCATTCACAGCTATACCTAGGAACATATCTGTGCATAAAAGAGTTAACAGAAGATCTGAGACTGCTATTCTTAGAGAGCTGTGCATTTAGGAACTCAGTTGGTTCCCACCCTGACATAAACTTTCTCCAGATGGCAAGACTAGGTTGCAGCACTGACACCGTTAAGGTGTGGTTTGTGCTGTCACCTGCTTACTTGTAGAGTCTGGGACTCTGCTACAGGACAGGCAGATGGTGTCCACACACAGAGTAACTAATGAGCTTCCCGGTAGAAAATACTTCACAGTTGTCATAACTTGTTACAGGAAGGATTAAGGGTGTACATCATGACTCCACTGGCAGAATCTTTTGGAAGCTCATCCCTGCTGGCTTCCTCTGATCTCTGCCCATGAGCCTTTTCTTTTTACTGGTTCTATTTTATATCCTTTTCTCTAATAAATTTTCCCTGTGAAGACACTGCATGCTGTGTCCTGGAAGTCTTAATAAAGCACCAAATATTAGGTTGGCTGGTGGCTTCCACCACAACCCCTTCCTGGAGGTAAATATTCAACAAAGGACAAAAACGAATGAATGAAGAGTCATGTCATGCTTGAGAACGGGAAGAAAAACAGCCTCTCTGTCCACCCCCATCAAACAAATAGTCAGTGAAATGCCAGTCAATATGCCTAGAGGGTTTAAAAAAGTAGGTTTTGATGGATCAGTCTTAAGATCAATATGGAAGAGCAGAGAGATAAATTATCAACTATGGAGAAGAAAAACTAGGTGGTAGAATTTGCCTAATCCAACTTCAGAACTTCAGAATTATTGAAAAACCATAGTAATTAGGCAACAGGGAAGATAACGCAATGGAACTTTCTGTGGAACCTGAGAACGTGAGTCTACAGCTGCATAAGAATAAGTAAAAGTCCAAAATAGCAAAGGCAATCCTGGTGGAGAAATATCCTACCAGGTGCTATTAGCAACTATAGAAGTTAAGTCAGTGAAATACTGGTACAAGGATGGACAAAGCAGGCCAGTGGACAGAACGAAAGCCCGAAGGCATAACTACCAGGGATGGAAACAATGGCTATCTGAGGTTAGAGATCTTGGGAAAGGATCAATAAATGTGCCAAGACAATGGGTTATCCATACAGGAGAAACAACTCAAATCCCTATCTTGTATCATTGGCCTCTGGTTGTCTAAAATACTTCATTATAAAAAATTTAGCTGAGCTAAATATACACAGCAGAATCTCTCATTATACTGGTGAATCACAGGCCAACAATCGTAATTTCATAAACTGTGCTTCTTGCTGGGACCCCAAGAGCCTAAGAGATTTTTTTTAGGAAGCACATAGCCTCAATTTTACATCAGCTTTAAAAATAATAAGAACTTTACCTCGTAGATCCTGGCAATTCCACAAAGGAGGGTCACCTCTCCTGGAAACTTCTCTAAGCCTTGTTTGAAAAGATTTAAAGCAGTCACAGGTTGATCCAATATGATATAAACCTAAAAACAAGGTGTGTTTATAAAATTACTGATTCTTAAAGTAAAAACATCTGTATGGCGAGTTTATAACTACTGATTAGTAACAAATTATCTCTTAGAGTATTATTTTATTTATTATTTTTATTTTATGTGTACGTGTGTATTGCCTGCATGTAGGTAAGTGCACCTGTGTCATGCAATGCCCGCCGAGGCCAGAAGAGGCTATCGGATCCCCTGGGACTGGAGTTACAGACAGTTGTTAGCTGCCATGTGGGTGCTGGGATTCGAACCTGGGTCTTCTGCAAGAACAACCAGTGCTCTTAACTGCTGAGCCAACTCTCCAGCCCCGCAAAATATTTTTTAAAAAGGAAATTTTCCCTCTATATTCACGTAGACAATAATAGATTTAAATCAACTTATACAAAACACGTGAAGCCATGTATTTAACAACAGTTATAATAAAATGCACATTTTTTCCAGCTATGTACCAACAATTTTTCAATTAACAGGATGTATAATGTTGCCTGAACCTATCTTCTGAATCTTCTTTATCACACTTTTAAAATAACTTTTTATTAAATTTATTCCTTGACAATTTCAGGCATGTATACAATGTATTCTGGTTGCTTCCCCCTACCCTCCTTCACATCCTTCCCACTCCTGCCAACCTTACCCTCCTCCCTAGAAGTTTCCTTTTCACATTCCTGCATTTTTGTTTTATGGCCACTGAGTTTATCCAGGGCTGTCTGGACCCATCCATCAGAGCCTGGTGGGCTCACCAGTGGGTTCACAACTGAACATACTGACTGTCCCTCCCCCAGAATCCACCAGTAGCCAAAAGTTCAGCAGGATAGAGTACAGCTCTGTGAGTTCATATCTAACCTATGACTGACTGACACAGGCTCAGTCTTGTGTAGGCAGTCACCTGCTGTGAGAGCATGATTGACAGAGTTTCGAAGCCATTCTCCCTGCCTTCTGGCTCTTACATTCTTCCTGCTCATACCTAATACTTCTTAAATCTGGAAAATCCTTACAGGTACAGCATGATGATATAACTATCATTTTATCAAGTTTTCTTTGAAAGTGGCCTTGGTAAGGGTTAAGAAGTGATTTTATTCTAATACAGGTATAACATTCCTTCTCTGAAATATTTTAGAACAGAAATGCTTTCAATTCCAGATGGGGGTGGTGGAGATTTGGATATGCATAATGAGATACCTTGGGAATGGAATCCAAGTCTAAACATGAAATCCATCAATTTGTCATCTAGACTTTTTGCACATACCTTATCGCAATTTACACAGTATTTTTAGTGCACCTATGTTTTGACCGGGACCCATTCCACGATGTCAGATGTGGAATCTTCAACTTGTAGCAACATGTTGACACTCAGTAAACTTCAGATTCTGCAGCATTTCATATTTTACAGATTCAGATTCAGAAGAGGAATGTCTGTCCCACCTGAATTAGAAATTCCAGGTGGCCCTTGTACTAGTACCATGAGAGTGATGCTATGCAGCAGGATAGACTCTGGACTTGAATACTGGCTGTTAATAGCCCAGTGACCCTGAAACATTGACTTCTTGAAGTCTCATTTCACTTAGCACCACAAAGGAAAAGATAAAACCTTACCATGTATGGTTACTATAAGGATTAAGTTCAACTTTCTTTACAAACAAACCTGCTACAGTGCCTTATACTGAATAGTGTTCAATAAAAGAGAAATAAGATTTGTATTGCTATAGCAGAGCTGAGTAACCGAGGGCCTAGAAAAACAGTCTATGAAATGGTCCTGGTATTCAGAGCAGGGTCTGGTGGCACAAGGCTGGCATCTCCACTACCCAGGAAGGTGAGGTAGGAGGATGGTGAGTTCAGTGTCAGTCTGGACTATAGAGCAAGATCCTGTCTCAAAAGTAAAAGCTCTGTTTCCTATAACCTACTCTGATCTGAAACAAAATGGGTTCTAGAAAAGGCCTCTCTGGGGCCTGTTCCCTACAGGGTGGTGTGCCTATGGTGTTTTCTTCTGTCCAGACAAGTAATCTGTCAAAGGACTGTTTTATTTTCCCACAGCAACCAGTTTCTTGTGAAGTGGTTACCCTCCATATGTTATTTTTCACCTTGCTATAAAAACTATGTTAAATCTGAACATATTAATTTGCCAAATATTCCTGAAGGAACTGGTGACTTTCCCCCACATAACGGCCAGCACTGCGAAAGGACAGTTTTCACTCAAATTAAGAACATTTACTTACTTTTGCCAGATAGAGAAATGTATCTACCATTTCCTGCTGCTTCAGGGCTGATTTAAACTGTTTTTCTGCTTCGCGATACATTCCTAGCCTAAAAAAGTCATTTAAAAAATTAGACACTTAATTTAAAAACCAATACTGCATCATTTTTTCAAACCCTGGGACTATGAACAAAGACACACCTCATCTTAGAGCAAGCATATACCAAAGTAGGTAATGCAGCAGACATTGATTTTAACATGTATGTTAAGAGAGGCTAGCAAATGCCACCTGTCTCCACCGTCACTAGCTAGCTAATCCTCCGATGGTATATAAAGACTGTCTGCAGCCTAGTCACAGCAAAGTGAGGTCACATCAGTTCACTGCCACAACAGCTTATGATCAGCTGGACATATGACAAGTGACCTGAATAAATGCTGAGCTTCCAACTTACTAGAAGAACTAAAAGATGGTGTTTCTTTGAAAATAACTCCTGCCCTCAGACAAAAGCCGATTTTTGAGTTTTCCTAAACTATTTTAATGAAAGCAACAATTGCCACTTGAATAATATAGATACATCTTCGTTTCTAGAAATCTTTTTTTCCTTTGCCCTTATTAGACATCTGATACTGGCTGCCTCCTCTGTGAACCTGAAATTTGCTCCTTGCCTCAATACGACTGTCATGATGTTAGTGCCCATCTCTGCGGTCCAGGAAGCACTGCTACCACTAAATCTGTCACCAAAGCACACAGCATTCACTCAGCTTGTCCTCAGCACATCTGTTGGGCCTCCTCCGAGCTACTCATTTCTAGCAATCTTAGCTACTTAGATATAATGGTTTACAAAATAAAATAAAAACAATTTATAGTATGTTTCACAGTGATACTTTTGTATAAAGTCTAGAAAGACTAGCTCCGATCATTTTTCATGATCTAAACCTCAAGTATTGGTGTGACTGATATACTAACAGCTGTTGGAAGTCAAAATTAAAATACTAGGGAGACGCCAAAGGACTATTGTGAAGTTAGAGGGCATGTGATGTGACAAATGTCTCATAAATTCCACACAGACTATGTATAAAATGTTATCAAAGGACCCCAAAGTTATGAAAATCAGAAATAATAAAATATAAAACAAATCTACCACATGAATTATTATACAAAAAAAAATGGAACAAGACATATTCAAACAAAGTCTAGGCATTCAGGAACTAGCTCAGTTGGTAAAGTGTTTGCCATACAAGCATGAGGACCTGAGTTCTAGCCCCAGAAACCACATAACAAAGCTGGGCATACTGGTGTGATCCCAGTGCTGAGGAGGCAGAAACAGGTGAATGGATCCCTGGGCCTCTAGGCAATCAGCCTGGGTCAATAGGCAAACCCCAGGCCAATGAAAGGCCCTGTCACAAAAAAACAAGGTGAACAGCACCTGAGGAATGACACTCAAGGTTGACTTCAGGCTTGTACACAGACAGACACATAGACACACACACACACACACACACACATATACTTACCTATACACATACATACATACATAAAAAAGTCCATGAATAATGAAAACATCAGTCAAGTTCATAAACTCAGGCCAGTATCAGAGTCCAGAGAGGCAGTTCCCACTAGCTGCCAACATTCTCTCTGCAAATGAACTCAGCACAACTATGAAAAATCACTGTATGTGCATTTTATGGTGTTAAAGAGATGTAAAAATGAAGAGGATAATAAGCACATCCTTAACATGATGGCAAGTGAAGATTGAAATAAATGTGTTCACTAACTGTATTATAGCCAATGAGAAAATTTCCTTGCAGAAAAGGGAGCAAATCAAGAGAACAATGGACAAGATTCCTACAGCTAGATAAGGTGTGCCAGGGATGCATCTCCAAGGGGAAGTAAATCATGGCACACAGGCAAGAAAGTGCATAGTATATTAGGATCATGCCAATGAGTCTGCCACGTAAACCATGGCACACAAGCAGGAAAGTGCATAGTATATTAGGATCATGCCAATGAGTCTGCCACGTAAACCATGGCACACAAGCAGGAAAGTGCATAGTATATTAGGAGCATGCCAATGAGTCTGCCACGTAAACCATGGCACACAAGCAGGAAAGTGCATAGTATATTAGGAGCATGCCAATGAGGCTTAACTGAAAAGGGCATAACAGTGAAACAGATATGGGCAAGTGGGTAGACTGGGACCAAAGCATGAGACTACACTGAAAACTCAGAATGGAGAGTCACCAAGGAATCCAGCAGCAGCTGTTTGCTGAGAGCAGTTACTTTCACTAAGGAAGGGTTGATGAGATGAGAAACTAGAGGCAGAAAACTCAGAGGTTACTGTAAGAACTCAACAAACAATAAAATGCCTGGAATTCTGGCATTGGAGTAGGATTGGGTAGTTAGACGGCAACCTTGAGAGTCACTGCAGAGGTAGAATCAGTAAACTCAATGGCCAGGAACAAAGAAGTTGAAGTTGACTCCATGCTATATCCTGTGGGAATGCATCTTCAGTCTCTCCAGTTGAAGTCAGGAGCCTCTGTATGGGCTCCTAGTATACTATGCACTTGCTTCCGGCATAATGGGAATCCTTAATAATAATTATTGTCATCTCAGCATTTGAAAGAAAGGACAGTCTAATAAACCTTTGTATGCACATTTGAGAGTAGTTGCTCATGAAATACTTTGCTAAATGAATGTATGAATGAGTGAATACCAAATACACAATAAAGATGTTCTGAAGAACAGAGAACACCACTTTAATAAGCTCATTTAAATGGCATATATGGGCAGCAGAAAGAATCCGAGTTATGCTTTCCATTAATTATTAATACTGTCTGAAGGTTTTGCTTGGAAGCTCAAGATGTTAAGATTGTCTTTAAGACTTAAACTCATAAGATTTTAATGTTATGGTGGTCTCAAATGACCTTCTGGCATATAACACAGTTCAATCTAGCAACAGGAAAAAAAAAATCACTTTGGAGTTCCCTCAGTGGAAGGTATTCTTGATTTCAACATCAGAGCAGTGAGCATCCCTTCAGCCCATTTACATCCTTCGTTTTCCCACAGTGCTTAAATAGCTGAAGTTTATAGACAGTGAAGGTTGTTCACAATAGCTGAAGACAGTTTTGCTTTTAAATAATAAAATACAATTTACACTCATAAAATATAAATGTTCATTGTTTCCATTTTCCCTGAATGTTCTAAATTATTTCAATATCAGCAACAAGTTACAGATCGTATTTACTCATTGCTAAACATTCCTAAACTTAATTACAACTTTCCTGATCTCTCAGTTTGTTTTCTTTCAAATGTACTTAAACATTAAGTACGTGTAAAATATTCAGGTCCTAGAAAAACAATAAAGATTATAGAAATAAGAGCCAGGTCTGGCAAAGAATACATGTAATCATGGTACTCTGGAGGCTGAAGCAGCACGATCATGAGCTTAAGACCCGCCTAGGCTACATGGAAATACCCTGCCTAAACAAACAAACATACTAAATAAATAAGGTTAAATAAGAGAACCAGAATCAGAAGCTGGAGCTCAAATTCTTGCTCTCACTTATTAGCTATATGAATTTAGCTACTTCACATTTGTCAGGCTCAGTTCTTCTCATCTGGGCAAAAGACTAGTAATAGCAGCTACCACCAGGTGCCATGAGCATTACGTGAGATGTTGTAAAGTCTGAACAAGCTAGCTCTTAGCTGTAAGGTCTCTTACAGATGCAAGGCATTGGTGTAAGTGAAAATGTGGAAACTAGGAGGATAGATCGAAATGAACCCTCTGAGTTCTAGTCCTGTATTTGTCACTAACCAGCTCCTGATGAAAATCACACCTACTCTCTGGCTTTGACTTCCTAGTCTGACAAAGAGGCTAGGCCTGATAGCTCCAAAGCTTCCCGCTCAGGCTCTAGACCCCTACAATTCTCAAGGCATTGGCACTTTCTTACTGCTGCCATGGGTTTGTTCAGTGAACGCTTGCTCAGATAAGCCCAAGTTCTCACTGCTTTGTGAAAAAGTTATTTTTTTTTAAGTATCAGATTTGACACTATAAAAATATTGCCACTTCTAAGACCTTCACAAATAAGATTTTACCTGTAGTAACATTTTCCAATCTGTACTTTCCACCACCAGTCCTTGTACTGAGAATGTTCCGTGGAAAGGGCTGCCAGATCCAAAGCCTTAGGAAACAATTCATTTTCAATTAGGATTTTCTTTTCTAACAGTAAACAGGCAGAAAGATAAATAATGAAATAAACCATATAATTAGCATCAATCAAAACATGCATTAGAAATCACACAGAAATTCAAGTTGCCCATGTTTCCAGATGGCCCCACCAATTTTCTCTAAATAATCAGTTCCAGGCCAGAGAGCTACACAGCACATGAGTTGGAAACATTGATCAAAGGGAAGCAGATGCACACCATACTGGGATACAATTTGAACACAGAAGGCACAAAACTGAAATTTTAAAACCTTTTACTTTCAACCTACTATGTATATAACAATTCAAAATGCCTCAAAATTCAATGGGTGTCAAGCTTTTTGTAAGATGGTTCCAGTGGCAGTCCTCATATTAAATACAGATGGAGTGAAGAATCGAGTAAGCAGATAGAAAAGGGGTTTGGAAGGGCTGGAGCCATAGCTTAGTGGTACAGTGCTTACCTGGTACACATAACTAGCCTAGGTGCGATCCCTAGTACCGCCAGGGAAAAAAAGAGAAATACTGACTTGATTTAAGAGGCTGGGGAGATAGTTCGGGGGTAAAGTACTTGCTTTACCTGAGTTCAGATCCCCAGCACCCACATAAAAACAAGGCATGGCACCATGCACTGTAACCTCAGTGCTAGGGGACACATACATAAATCCAAAGAAAGAAAAAGCCTTCAGAGAATGGGTTCACAAAGAAGAAGGGAGGGTATTAGGGTAACCACTGCCTTGAGTGGCCACTGCTCTGACATCACTTTACATTTCAAGAATTAATTTTTTATCCTTATTTTAGCTGTCTTTCCCGTATCTTTTTTAAAGATTTATTTTCATTATTTTTAATTATGTGTATGTGGGGGAGTATGTGCACATGAGTGTAGGTAGCTGTAGAGGCCAGAGGTGTCGGATCCCCTGGGAGATGGAGTTACAGGTGGTTGTGAGCCGCCTGATGTGGGTACTTGGAACCGATCCTCTGCAAGAGCAGTAGGCACTCTTAACTGCTCAGCCATCTCTCCAGTCCTAATCCCAAATCTTTTCTATCTTTTTTCTTTCCAGTGTTTGACATGATCAGATGAAAGATAATCAATAAGAATTAGGATTTTTATAGAGAGGAAATGGAAACTCTTTTGACAAAGGAAAAAATGAGTCTTTGTACAAATCTGAAACTCATAGAAATCGGAATCTATAAAGATTTGATGAATACTAAGTGAGAACACTGATTTTTAATATTTATTATTCTTCCTCTCATGGTTGAAACTGTTTTATTCTGCAGTCAGTGTTAATATAATCATGACAACCAACAGTTCCATTAAAGAAACTCTTAGAGTTTTCAGTTCTATCATCTCAAAACACATTCCGCATTACTGTCCACCGTGCATATTACCTCTGCTCTGAAAGGAATGCCAGAGGAGTCCTTTCAGCCTCTTATTGCAAAATTAATTACTTTCCCATGTGTTCATCATCTTCTCTTGCTCCAGGGGAGACCCCTAAATATGCAAACTACTTATCCAGGAATGGTGTTGCCATGCTGAGCCTCTAATGGACTTGAAAAAACAACATCTCTACTTGAAAGCTATGGAAATTAAAAACAAGCCACATCTGATTATATTTTCATATGTCCATTTTTCTTTCACCCATCTAGCCATAAAAGTGAAGGGGAAAAAAAGTATAACTTCAAGTGGTATTATCTCTGGAAGTGCTAGGAAGATGTATTTTCAATCAGCTCCATTCAGGGATATAGTGTAAATACCTGTGCATATTAACTTTGACTCAATCTTCAGACAGACCTTTCCCACCAAATAGATCATGTTTACTATCATGTTTAATATAACTAGACCTTCTACTGTCTTAGAAAAAGCAGCCACTCAAATGTTTTTATGTACCCTAACTTCCCAAGGTTAGATTTAGTGCTTATGATGGGTGGCTGAGTTTCCTTTAGATACGGTCCTGAATTAAGTCTTCCTATGGAGGAACCAGGTGTTTCTGTTCATCCAAGTAAGGAAAAATATAAATTACTGATGCAGAATAAAAACAGAAAAGCATATTCTAGCAATCATTCTTCACAGGACAACTTAGACAGAACTAGATGAAAACATTGTGACAACTTCCAAAGGCCCCTGAGCCCCCTGAGGACAACACTTTCCATCTTTGCTGTTATTTTGGAATATTGCTGTGCTCACCAGAGGCACTTGAGAATGACTTGTTCAAAGAATTAACTAGATTGTTTTTGATTGACGTTGAAAATAGCTAAAGAGGCAAACAAAACTTTTATACTAAAGAATCCATAATTTAGGCTATAAACATTTAAAAACTTTAAAGTAGTGACATAATGACCAATATTTCTTTAAAATCTTGATTTGTGTGTGTCGGGGGTGTACACATGTACATCTTGTTTTTTGAGACAGTTTCTTTCCCTGGCCTGAGCTTACTAAGTAGGGTGCCAGTAGTAGTAAAGGAATCTGCCTGACTCTACCTCCCCAGCACTAGGATTTCAAACGTGATTCACCACACCTATTCTCTCTTTTTAAAAAAAAAAAATATTTATTATTTTTATTTTATGTGTATGAGTGTATTGCCTGCATGTATGTAAGTGCACCCATGTCATGCATGCCCACAGAGCTCAGAAGAGGGTGTTGAATCCCCTAGAACTGGAGTTACGGACGATTGTTAGCCATCATGTGGGTGCTGGGATTGAACTCGGGTCCTCTGTAAAAGCAGTCAGTGCTCTTAACCACTGAGCCATCACTCCAGTCCCTCTCTTTTACAATTAAATACTATTATTTTTATTTTATATGTACGAGTGTTTTGCCTGTGTGTATAATCGTACTATGTGCATGTCTAATGCCTTGAGGAGGCCAGAAGAGGGCCTCAGATCCCCTGAAATTGGAGTTAAGGACAGGTGTGAGCCATTATGTGGGTGCTGGGAACTGAACCTGGGTTCAGTAGCCAGTGCCCTTAACCACTGAACCATCTCTCCAGTACCCTATAGCTTTTTCTACATGGGTCCTGGGGATTGATCTCAGGTGCCCATGCATATCATGATGCACACATGGAGGTTAGAGGACAACTTACAGGACTTGGTTCCCTCCTTCCACCATATGGGTCTCAGGGATTGAACTAGGGTCATCAGGCTTGTCAACAGGTGCCTTAACCATCTCTTTTCCCCCTCATCATTGAAATGTTGCTTCAAAGCACCCACAGTATTTAGCTGTAGCATTCTCCCTTTCAGCAGACAGGGATAAAATGACTAACCAACATGTCACTTTCGTTTTGTCAGTAATGCCCCCTAAAATAGGAGGACAAAGACAGAAATAAAGTCGTCCATCAACATCAAATCTATTTTCTTAACACTTAAACGCTAATTCAAAGTTCTTTACATTCACCAACAATACTTCTGTATGACTTCAAGTGGTATTATCTCTGGAAATGCTAGGAAAATGTATTTTCAATCAGCTCCATTTTGGCATGCAGTGCAAATACCTGTGCATATTAACTTTGACTCAATATTCACAAGGACTTTTCCCACCAAATAGATCATGTTTACTATCAGGTTTAATATAACCAAACCTCTGATTTTATTAGTATGTTAAAAACAGAACTCATTTTTTTCTTTTTCAAGCTAAAGTTGCAAAATATATAAAAGGCATTTTTAAAAGCCTGCTTTGTGTTCATATCTAAACCCTTCTTTTTAGAAAATAACATTTGTGATATAATTAAAATGGCCTTTTAATGGAACAGTCTGAGCACAAGAGCACTATGTGCAGGGCTGTGTGTGCATCTGTGTGTGTGTGTGTGTGTGTGTGTGTGTGTGTAAGCAGGCAAGCTGGTAGAATAAGAGACAGTCTTAGGGCATCTGCCCTCCCCAACACTCCTCCAGTCAATCACAGTATCAACACAGGGGCTTCAGCAATTATTAAAGGATAAACCAATCTGCTCATAAACCAATGAGTGGATTCATGGATAAAAATGAAAACAAAGGACCAATAGCTTGTACTTTTCACTAAGCAGAAACAAAACAAACTGCTTTGGTTTTTTTTTTTTTTTAACTAAAGATAAAGAGGAAATTAAAAGCACTTTATGTACTTAACTTAGAGCTAATTTATGAGTGAAATGTTGCTATTAAATTAGAAAATTTAGGAAAAGTTTGAAAAAGAACATAAAATTTAGCCTTATTCTCCACCAGGGCCATGAGGCTGTCTTCTTTATTGTTGTAATCCAGACAGACATTCAACAAGTATCTATCTTACATCTACTTTTAAGTAATACATCCAGGAATCTGTTATAAGTATATATCTTTATATATTTAGTTATAATTCTGTTTGACATACTGAGTGGCTACTTTTTGACTTAACATTATAAAATAAACATTTGTAATTTTTATAATTTTGACTATGATTTTGATAATGATGACTTTAATGGCTGCATGAGAAGCCCATCATGGTGTTTAACATTGATTTTTTTTTCTCTAGCACTGAGCATTTATGTTGCTTTCTGAGTATTTTTACTAGTATATTTAATGCTATAATGAACATCATTGCAAACATAGCAATTCTGCCTGAAATTGTTTGAGAAGAGCAGACACAAGTTAAATAAATATGTGTAGTGCTACCTACTTTATATTACCATATCATTTTCCACACTGTACCCTTTACAATGTCATTTATAATTTGTAACAATTTACTACATTCTTCTCCCTAAGCATTCAAAGGCCCTTTATTTTATAATTTTCTTGTTAGCAAGAAAATCATCCCTACTGCTCCTGTTTACAGGTATTTTCTCCAACCTACCTGTTATTTGGGTCATTTCCATCTTTATAAAAAGCCTTCTAAGGGCTGGGAGATGCCTTTGTGGATAGCGCACTTGCTGAGCATGTACAAGGACAGGAGTTCAGATCCCCAGAAGCCAGGTAAAGGCTGATTGGTCGTGGTGGTTGACCTGAAATCCCAACACAAGGGAGGCATGAGCCTCCACACAGGGGACTTCCATGAGCAAATTGGCCAGCTAGACCCAACTGAAATGGGGAGCTCCAGCATTGGCAAGAAACCCTGCCTCAATACATAAGGTAGAGTGTGATGAAGAAGATACTCGACATCAACCTTGAGCCTCCACAGGGCCATACACCCCCCCACACACACACCCCATGCCAGAAAAAAAACAATCTTTCTAAAAACTTCAGATCATCTTTTCTAAATATGACAACTAGAATTTAAAATCACCTTTAAGGTTCCTTTTTCCCCCTTTCACTCACTATACAGAAATAATGTATGTGAATCAGTAAGTTTCTTTCCTTTGCAATTGCTTCACAAATCCAACCCAATCTATGAAGTAGTTTGTTAGTTGAAATTTTTGCATGTGTATGTGTGTGTGCATGCACCACTGTAGATACACACTGCATGTATGTGGAGGCCAAAGATCAATCTTGAATGCCATTCCTCTGGAACCAATTACCTTTTATTTTTTGAGAGGAGTCTCTTGTTGGGCTGGCTAGCCAGCATGCCCCCAGGAGCCTGCCTGTCTCCATCTCCCCAGCCTCATTTGGCATTCCTATTTCTTGGCCAATGAGACTCTTCAAAAGAGCAGAGACTCTGGTCTGCCTGCCTCCCACCAAGATTTCAGGGCTGGAACACTGGGTGGCACACAGGTCACTCAAAATGATATTGGACAGGATATTAGATAGGAGAACAGATGTCTCTTCAATAAATAATCTTCAAAAAAAGCATATAAAGCAAGGTATGGTGGCACATACTTGTAATCCCAGCACTTGATGGGCACAGACAGGAGAATGGAGAGTCTGAGGCCAGCCTGGGCTACATAGTGAGGCCCTATTTCTAAAACCCAAACAATCAAAAAAAAAAACCTTCCAAGAATATAGATTTATGACAATCTAGTACTAGAGATTTACTTATCTGTGAAATGAGATAGTATTTGAATGTCTCATTTTAAAAGTTTTATATATTATCAAAATAAAAGCCTCTGACTAGCTTTATATGAAGTGAAGATGACTTTCTTCTGTTACAGAAATGTGATATGGTTTCTCAGTGGCCCATCCCCCAAGTCCTGTTCCTTACGTGACCACATCTTTGTCCTCTTCACCATAGGTAAGTCCCACACTGTCTACCGGGCTCAGGCGTTTACTGCAGTCCAGTACCATAATTCTTAGCGCACTGTGTCTCCACTCAGATAGTTTTCTGTCACTTCAAACCCAAAAGGCCTTTAAGTGACTTATGCAGCTTCTCTGTAAATCAATGAGCTGCCCCATCCCATTACTATTAGTAAAACTCTCATTCTCATAGCATTCTGAGGTGGCTGTTTGACTGGTATGTCTTTATCTCCAATATCAAATCTATCATCAAGTTCAACCATTTCTGTCTTTGAACTGTTTCTTTGGTGCCTCCATTTTTGAAGATAAGACCTGTTTCTCTCTCACTCCATCTTCTGTTCATGGCTTTGCCATTTCTTTACATTTATCTGTCCTCCTTTCCAGAAAAATATTACTTACTTTTTGGATGTTTGCAAGCATCAACCACCCTTGTGAAGTTTTCCTTTGCTACTTTCAATTTGGCCCTCACTTCTTGTTTGTTTGTTTGTTTGGACATGGTTAGTCCAGACTGGTCGTAAACTCTTAATTCTCCTGCCTCAGCCTCCTGAGTGCTGGGATTACAGATGTATGCCACCATACCCTGTGACAATTATTCCTTTGTTTCATTTATGTCAATTTTATTTCCTCAGTTAAATTGAACAGTTTATAGAAGTAAGATAAAGCATCACATCTTCATTAGTTCTCTTAATACATCACACTGTAGTTGACACAGAAAATGTAACTAATAAAAGTATGATTCTCCTGAATCCTTGACATATGAATGTAGAGTTTTTCCTAGACTGATACAAAAATGGGAAAAATACTATCAGAAATTACAGAATTGACTTTATTTGACTAAAAAAAAAATCCAAACAAAGAAAACAAAAACTTTGTGCACTTTCTCCTACTTTACATACCAGCATGTAGAAATTTAAACAAATTTGCAAAGTCACATGCACATAGCCTCAAAATTCATTTAGTGAGAAGTTACCATGAAAACTGACTATTGTTGAACCTAAGTGGTTAGTACATGGGCCCCTGACATTATACTTTCTACTTCTATATGTTTGAAATCTTCAATCATAAAATGCTAAACATGGAAGAAAGGGCACACTATGAAGAAGGCAGAAACGCACATATTAGTAAATTTGTAAAACTCTGTAGTCTAAAGACAAACGAATCAGTGTATTACTGTAAAGAATAAATTCTAACACAAGCATTCAATATTCTCAATGATCTATATTCTGCCCTTTGATGAGAACCACATATTCTATGAACCAAGTATAATTCCTATATTTCTACATTTCTACAAATTTTCTCATTGAAACTGAGAGTTTCAATTTCACCAATTTTTAACCATTCTATTTGTCTTTAAGGTAAGAAATAGAACATTTCAGAATCTAAAGTTCCAAAGTCTGAAAATTTATAATACAAGAAAATAGCAAGGAACCATAACTTACCATCTTAACATCATTTTCATGATGAAAGATGTATTCAAATAAAGCCTGTGAAGACAAACAATGCCAAAATGCACTCAGTTTTATTTAATACAGCTCTTTATTACTGTTGCATTAAAACTCAAAGCTTGGTTTGAGTCAGAGACACAGGATAATCTAAAGTGCTGAGAACTTGTGAGCAAAGGATGTGACCGTCTTTGCTACAATACTGCATTTGAAAATTCTGCAACTTAAAAGGAACTCCCTTTTTTTTTTTTTAACAACCTTATAACTAGAGGGTTCTAAGAACTGAGCTTTTTTTCCTTCATGCTAAATACCATTATTTATTAGAAATTAAATGTTTATATCTTAAAGACTTATGATTATCATAAAAGTTATCATTTTATACTCTCTGTATTATACAGATTACTATTTAATTATGACACTGTAACAGGAAAAATCCAAACATTCCCTTTGAAACACAAACGTCTAGTGTTAAGTAGAATTTTCTGCTTAATTTTTAAAGCTATCTCTTCAGGTTTCTTTAACAGAGGGCAACTCAGCCCAACTTCATACTGGATTCAGACCAATTAAATCAGAATCCAGGAGGTACGGGACTGGGGAAGGCCCTGCACTAGAGTTTGTAAAGCCCAGCTGACTTTAAAGTACAGTCAGGGCTGAAAGCCTTATTTTTAGTGTTCCCACGCCCAAATCATCTGTATGAATAAGCATTCACTGCATTACTTCTTAGTGCTCTCCTACGTCCGCAACACTGCGTTATACACTTGTTAGTACCCCTGGGAGACAGTATAGTTATTAATGGGGAAGACTTGGAGGCAACCCAAAAGAAGAAAAAGAACAAAGAACATAGGCTTGTAACCCCAACTACTTGGTGGTAGGGGGCAGATGGCTGAGGCAGGAGTATCTCTAGACCTTGTCTCAAGGAAGTAAGAAGGAAGGGAGGAAGGGAGGGAAGGAGGGAGGGAAGGAGGGAGGGAGGAAGGGGAAGATGGAGGGCTAAGAGTGTACAAGGCCCTAGATTTGATCCCCAGCACAGCAAAAAAGGAAAAAGAATTAGAAAGGGTCAAGTGTGATGATGCACACCCATCATTTTAGTACTCAGAAGGCTAAAGTAGGGAGATCAGGAGTTCAAGACCATCCTGGGCTATATATTGAAACTTTGTCTCAAAAAGAACCACCATAAAAACAAAAACAAAAAACCTATGACAACCTATGAAAGAAAACAAGAAAAAGCTAAAAGTGCGATTGGTCCTCCACTACCATGAAAAGAATGTCACCACACCCAAGCAGTGCCAGTATCCGAGCATCACCAAAGACATCCCAAGCAACACGTCAATAGTATAAAGAAGTTCTGACGAGCCAAGGCAAGTTGGGGGCCAAAGACAGAAAAATCTGGTAACAATCCTATATCACACTAAAGATCTAGTTCAGGCTAAATCTAGAACACAGACCAGGTCTGTCCTGAATGAATTTTAATTTAATTGAGGAAAGAACCTCCATTGACTGTACTGTCATTTAAAAAAATAAAAATAAAAAAAAATAAATAAAAAAACAGCAATGGCATTGACCAGCCAGCCAGCCAGCCACCTCAAGTAAATGTCACCAAAAAGCAGGAAATCAGATATTCCACACAAATGGATTTTGATAGACCATACAGAAAAGGAAAATGAGTAAAGCTTTACATTCTGCTAAATGGAGGTGACTAGAGTCCTGTCAGAGGGGTTAAGAAGAAGGTCATTAACATTATTCCACGCTGATACCTATCCACCAAGTGGCATTCCTTTTTTTTTTTTTTTTTTAACCCTAGAATGTCTACAATTGAGAATGAGCTCAGCACAAAGTTCATAGAGATTTTAACTGAGAATCTGCACTGAGTTTCCAGAAAACAAATGTTCTTGTCTGAATTATTCCCAGTTATCCCCCCAGGATTTTTGGGGGGATGTGGTTGCTTTGTTTGTTTTGGGACATGTGCATGCTTGTATGCCTGCATGTGGAAACCAGAGACATGAGACACATGCTTGTTTGTATACCTACATGTGGAGACCAGAGACATGTGCATGCTTGTGGAGGCCAGAGAATACCCTAGGATGTCATTCCTCCTCAAGCACACACACTTTAGTTTTTTTTCTAAAGATTTGTGTGTGTGTGTGTGTGTGTGTATGTGTGTATGTGTGTGTGTATACACATCTGAATGCACACAAAGAGGCCAGAAGAAGGTACTGGATGCTCTATCACTCTCTGCCTATTTCTTTGCAACAGGATCTCCTCTCTGAACCTAGAGCTCACATTTCTCTTGGCTAGGAAAGCACTATTAATCCCCAAGCCATCTTTCTAGACCCACCTTGTTTTTCAAGACAGGGTCTCACTGGCCTGCAGCTCCCCAGCCAGGCACCTGCTCTGGTTTTATTTCTGTTGCTGTGATAAAATACTGTCAAAAGGAACTTAAGAGAGGAAAGTATTCATTTGACCTAAGAGTCCCTTACAGGGAAGTCAAGGCAAGAACTTAGAGCATCATGTCCACAGTAAGAGTATGTATCAAGAATAAACAAATGGAACCATGTATGGCGGCACACACCTTTAATCCCAGCACTTGGAAGGCAGAAGCAGGAGGCTCTCTGTGAAATTGAGACCAGCCTGGTCTATATAAGTTCGAGGCCAGCTGGGCTGGGGCTATAGGGAGACCCTGTCTCAGAAAGATGAAGGAAAAAAAAAAAAAAAGAATTACTAACATAGTTGGCTTACTATAATCTGTCTTGAGTAATAATTGAGGCTCAATTAATTACTAATTAAACATACATTAAAGTTATCATCCTTTTGACAGTCCTTAAATCATACAAGGATAGAAGATTTTATTTCTGAGCCGAGTCCAAGCTGAAAAACAAACACATACAGGTCCAGATGACCCCAACTTCACTGCACAGAGATGAGACTGGATACAGGTCCAGATGACCCCAACTTTACTACACAGGGATGATACTGGATACAGGTCCAGATGACCCCAACTTCACTGCACAGAGATGAGACTGGATACAGGTCCAGATGACCCCAACTTTACTACACAAGGATGATACTGGATACAGGTCCAGATGACCCCAACTTCACTGCACAGGGATGATATTGGATATATGCTTCCTTTGTTATTATTGTTTAAAGGAAAAAAGATTTTCCTATAAGAATGGTATATGTACTTTATTTCTGATTGACTTAATTCAAGACAGAATTTTTACCTATTACAACAACTAAAATCTCCATTTCCCATAGTTCCATTATCATCATAATTCTATCATCACTTCATAATATAATTATTTAAAGCACATACCTTTGCCAATTTAGGTTTCTGGGAATATTTCGTTAAATTCAGTCTAGACAAATTTATAAATGGCCCATCAGGACTAGTGAGCATAGAAGCCTATGAGAGGAGAGAGAACAAAAGATCTGAAACTTTCTCCTGAAACATACATTGGGCTTCCTGTGCACAGAATTATAGAACTTATAAAAATTAAAGCAAAAAAGTTACCTTCAAGAGTTTTTGTATAACTCTCCTCTGTGACACTAGTGGAGCAAGAAGTTACCCGGGTAATATGTGGCTCTGGGAGAGCTAACAGAACTTACCGTCCCCAGTCTGACAAATCTTCCAGATGAACTAGTGACAGGACGTGCTGTGTAGGCGGTTCTGGGTGTTCTGATGGCCTGTTCCATGGTACCTGGCCTTCCACCTTGTGTGCTGGGCCTAAGGAAACCTGTAATGGGTCTTCCAGCTTGAGTGATTGGCCTGTGAAGACGGGAAGTTGTCACAATACAAACAAGATCAATCAAGGAGAGCCTCTCCTAAGTTCTAGTCAGTATTTGGTGGCAGAAAAATGGCATACAAACACAGACCTGACAGCTTGACTTGGTCCTCCTGTCTGGATAGTTCCGGGAAGTTTCAAGGATGTTCCAGGGCCTACAAGATGAGATGGTAATCAATTTGTATGTTATTTATTAATTTTTTAAAAACAGCCATCTAATTTTCAGAGTTGTGTTGGCCTGATAAAAAAGGTATTAATAATATCCAGGAAGTGTGTTTTAGGGAAATGTGTCTGAGACTAATATTCAGTGAGCATCTATCACTGTTTTATGTTATCACATGTGGTCTTCACAGTGAGTCTATAGGATGGGTAAGTATGAACCCACTTACAAAAGCTGATAGAAATAAGGTAACAGATCACTCTATCAGCAGAACTTGGATTCAAATTCAAAACATGCTGTAAAGTTTAAAACAACCATTTTAGACTTACAAAATAAATACTTTTCATACAAATGTTTCCAAATAAAAGATTATATCCAGAACTTACATATTTGAGCCATAAAAGAGCAAGTTAATATGGAAAAAAGACATTTTAACAATGAACAAATTGCCAGCAAGACTACCATAGGTCATGGTCATCAATCCACTACCATGTGCACCTGACTTGGACTCTGAGCCAAGTCTGAAGCCTTTACACCTTCACAGCCCCACACCTTATCGCCTCACACAGAACATTAAATGAAGTGATTTGATAGCATTTTTGAGACTGGCTCACCTGGAGTTCACTATGTGGACCAGGCTAGCTTTGAACTCACAGCAATCTGCCTGCCTCTGCCTCCCAAGTGCTGGGATTAAAGGCCTGTGCCACCACATCCAGCTCATCTGGTAGTTTTTATTTATTTTTATGGTGTGTGTGTGTGTGTGTGTGTGTGTGCGTGCACGTGTGGCATGCACACATGTGGAGGCCAGGGGTCCCCCTCAATAGTGCTATACCTCATACTTTGAGACAGGGTCTCTCACTGAACCCAGAGCTCACTAATATGGCTAGGCTGGCTGACCTAGGGATTTCTGGTTCTTGGATTACAGACACCTACCATTTTTGTGGGTACTGGGGCCCAAACTCAGGTCCTTATGCATGTGCAGCAAGCACTTTACTAACCCAGCCATCTTCCCAGTTCCTTAAATGATGATTTTTTTAAAAAATACTTTTAGGACACTTCTGATATTTAGATGCTTCCTGTGCTTAGATTCCAAGATTAAAAAAAAAATCTTCTGACCTATTAGATAAGCAGCTTCCAGTAGAATGCATAAAGTATTTTAAGTGCATAACATATCTCTACTGGAAAATTAATATATATCAACTCGTGCCTTAAGTTCAAGATAACTGAATAGTACAAAGAAAGCCTTTGCACTATAAGGCAGAATAGAAACTATTGACTTTAGATACTTAAAATTATTTTGTTTGTTATTATTAGTGTGCATATGTGCAGGATGTGTGTGTGTGAGTGTGGGCACATATATGCAGTCACCTGTGGATGTCAAAGGGCAACTTTTAGGAGTCAGTACTTTCCTTCCACTGCAGGTTCTAGGGATCAAACCCATATCTTACATGGTAAGCACTTTACCCCCTGAGCCATCTCACTAGCCCAAGCTAATCTAAGCTAATATATGCATGATTTATGTATACAATGTTTATTTATATATATATATTGTTTGTTTGTTTGTTTGTTTGTGACAGGGTGGCCTTGAATTTACTCCATAGCTCAAGCTGGCCTTAAATTTGCAAAATTCCTGTTGCCTCAGCCTCCTAAGTACTAAGATTACAAGCATGTGCCATCACACCCGGCCATATATAAATACCTATACACACACACAAAACACACACACACACATGCACGTGCACGCGCACACACACAGAGATATTCCTCCTATATACAGCTTTTCTCCTCCCACTAATATCCCATTAACTTAAATGAAGAACCAGTACTTACGTGGAACTTGAGCAATAGCATTTTCATCCAGAATCATTTCTGCAATTCCCTCCTGATCCACATCTATTTCATCGATATACACCATTTCAGTTAGTGCTCGTGCTTTTAAAATCCAAGCTGCCTAAAGACCATATGAAAATAAGAATTCCAATCAAATAGCATTAGAAATAGGACACAGCTTACAGAAGAAGCTAGACCTGTCTTGTTAGGATCACTTCTGCATTCCTCCTTCAGGACCAAGACCTCCACAAAGTCTTCCCCAGCTCTCTAACATCAGCCAGTCATCCTCCTATCTTTCTTAGTCTTCTTATCTAATGCAATTACTATATTTGATAAATACTGAAGTTATCTAGGCATGTGCTAGCCCCCTCTTCCCCTGAATACAAGTTTATTAATCTTACTTCTGAAATTTCAAGACCTTTAGTGTTTTTTTGTTTTCTAAATTTTGATTTATTTTTACTTTATGTCTGAGTATTTTGCCTGCATGTACATAAGTGCACTACATGTGTGCAGTGCCCACAGAGGCCAGAAGAGGGTGTTGGATCCCCTGGGACTGGAGTTACAGATGGTTGTGAGCCACCATGTGTGTGTTGAGAACAGAATGTGGGCAGTCAGTGCTCTTAACTGTTGCTATCCATCCAGCCCTACAGATCTTTAGTTGTTTATACATATAGATATTCAAAAAATGTTGGTTGATTCAAGCTAAGATCAATTTCTCTGGACTCCAAATAACTACATAACCCTGGTAATTTTGTGATCCAGTCAGAAGAAAACCTGCTAAAGAGTGGGGAAAACGAAAAAGGTAATGAAGGACTCGACTCTGAAAACAGCTTTGCTAGACTTTGAGAAGCGTAATGTGAGTGTGTGCACAGTACAATGTGAGGATGTACACACTAACTTGCTTGCCAAACAAACGAAACTGCTTTCCTGAAAAATTTTACCTTTCTGTTTTACTACAGAATAAATCTAAGAACAATAAAGCTCAGTGACCTGTGCAAGATTTAAGAGCACAATTTTTTTTTAAAAAATTATTTTTATTTTATGTGTATGTTTTGCCTGTATGTATACAAGTACACCTGTGTGTACAGTGTTCACAGGGGCCAGAAGAGGGTGTCAGATCCCCTAGAACTAGAGTTATAGATGGTTGTGAGTCACCATGTGGGGCTAGGAACACAACCCAGGTCCTCTGCCAAGAGCAGCCAGTGCCCTTAACCACTAAGCCATCTCTCCAGCACAAGAAAACAATTCTTGAAGGAGAAACATAGACCTGACTCTACAGTCTAGAGGAAGAGGAGCACAGAAATCTCAGGAGGGACTAGGACTCAGTATACCACGACCTGGTTGTGAAGCAGGCTGAATGAAGGCAAAGGGGCTGAGACAGGAAAAATGCAGCTACAGGACATTCACAAAGTCCCCAGGTGTACAGCATTTCCAGCTGGTCTGTTTACTGAACACCTAGTTAATACCTAGCATCAGACTAGGTTTGAGTGGGAAATGAAAGATCAAAGCATGGATCGGAGATGATATTCCTGAATGCTTCATCTAGTGGATTAAATAACAAAAATAAACAACATGTGAGTGGTGACAAGTATATGATAGAGAAAATAGGTTTTATAGAAATTGCTTTTTAGGAAAAAAAAAATGAGCATTGTGGTACATCCCCATAATCCCAGCACTCGGGAGGTTCATTCTCTACTACACAGCAAGTTCAAGGCCAGCCTGAAATATATGAGACTGTCTCAAAAAACAAGTTATTAAAAAAAAAAAAAAAGGTCTGGCTCTGTGGACAGGCAAAAAGGAGACAAAGTAGGCTCCCCTAGGTACCTCACACACAGTATGTGTGGGAACTCCAGGAGGAGAGAGGGTTTTGAAATGTTGAGGAATCTGTCTGAACTGAGACTAGTCAGAGAACAAGGCCACAGAGAAAGGCAGAGGTCAGACGACTATCCTGTGTGCCACAGTGATATTTATGGATTTAAAATTTTTATTATTTATGTGTATGAGTGTTTTGTCTACATGTATTTAAGTACACCCACATGTGCAGTGCTTGCAGAGGTCAGAAGAGGGCATCGGACTTCCCTGGAACTGATGGTTGTTAGCCACAATGTAGGTGTTGGGACTAAACCCAGGGCCTCTGTAAGAGCAGCCAGTGCTCTTAACCACTGAGCCATCTCTTCAGCCCTCAGGGTTAGGGATTTAAGAAAAAGTTAATAAAAAGTTTATCCTGATAATAAGGAGCCAATAAAGCTTAAGAACTACGATTTGGAGCCCTATTTAAATCCTTCTCAACCAATCCCTCTCCCCCTCCCCCTCCCCCCTCACTCCCCACTCTCTCTGACCAGGTCTCACTCTGTGACCCAGCCTGGCCTTGAACTCTAGATCCTCCTGCCTTAGCCTCCTGAGCGCTGAGATTATAGATATGCAACACCACATTCATCTTAAATCAAGTTTTCAAAAGCCAAGTTTTATACAAAAGCCTTATTTATACAGTCAGTTATGAACCATCCATGAACATATTTTAACTACTTTCAAGTTCAGACTAACATTTCATAGTCCAATCCATTATGACATCCATTCTCCTACAAATCTCTTAAATATTAAGATGATGCTAACTTTCTATATTGGGCTAAGCAAAGCAAGGAAAGTGAATATATCATTCTCTCCCTAGCAAATAACTACATAAGAAGTTCAGTAGGAACGTCTGCTTTTTTATGAATTTAGTCTTTCAAACTGATAGTTTCGATTTTTAACATTAAGTCTTAAGAAATGGAAGCAATGGTGTGAAATTTGATATTTAAAAGATCTGTGGAGACAGGGAAATAGCTCAGTGAGTAAAGCATCTTGAGATACAATTGTGAAGACCTGAGTTCAGGTCCCCAGAAGCTACATATAGCTGGGCACAGGGCACATAACTGCAATCTCCGCACTCCTAGAATGAGATGGGAGATAGAGGCAGGATAATCCCTGGATACTTGGGTCAGCTTGCCTGGGTATGCAGTGGCCAACAGCAAGAGACCCTGTCTGAAACAAGGGGGGAGGTAAGGACTGACACCCAAGGTTGTCCTCTGATCTCCATACATGTCCTATGCCCCCCATCACATACACTCTCAGATATGTACACAGAGAAAGGGATTTGTTTTTTAAAGATCTGAAATAAAACATACTCAAACCATTATTTGTTTAAAATTACATCAGCGTTTCAGAAGTTAATCTTCCTGATTTTTCTTCTGTCCTAACAAAATAGGACCTTGAAAATCACATATCACTGCTTGATTATACATTGGAGTATGTACGAAGAACTACTTCTGGCAATGTGAACAGTTCTTGAGATTTTAGTGAAAACAGCAGATGGGGCTTTGGCTTTAAAATTCTTTTTCGAATAAGCCAAGTATGTTTTACAGTCCTAAAATCCTCTGCATATCAAAAAAAAGCATAATCAAGCATACACAGTAATCACTAATTGTCCCTTGAATCTGAATAAAACTACAAATTTGTTTTCTATGTCATGATTAACAATAAATTGTAGAGTCATGCAGCTTTTAAAAACAGTTGCTTATACAAATATACTTGACTATGTGTTAGAAGTACTATCAAAATGATGCTTAGGGACTTTTTATAAAGGGAAAAGCAGTTTCTCCCAATCTAATGTAAAACATTTCTCTGTAGAAATCTTGAGAGATAATACCATATCTCTTATTCCCTGAGTTAAGTCTCTAGGACATTAGTCTTGAGGCACAGACCTTCTACCTAATATCAAGAAAAGTACTGACTTGTTCACCCTTTGTGATGTTAATCCAATAAAAGTATCAACTGGCTGAGCAAAACGTTTCAATTATTCTGTCCTTTTTAATAAGGAATGCAAGACCAAGAGCTTAAGGTATGTAAGAAATAATTTTGATAGATTATCAAAGTCTACCAAAAGAATAGTCCATCTGATACAATTTGGACATCATAAAAATTAGCACTAATATTTGATAGTCTGTATAATCTATGAAAATGAAAATTTAGACACAATATATTGAGTTGTTCTTGTATAGGGTTTGGTTATAAAATGTCTCCAAATGCTCATGCATTGAAGGCTTGATCCCTGGTGGTGCTATTGAGACCTGACAAGATCATAAGGTTGCTAACCTCATCAATAGATCACTCCTTCATAGCTGGGCTATTAGGAAAAGCTGGACACCAGGGGCATGTCTTTGAAGGGTATAACCTAGCCCCAGCCCTGTTCACCATCTCTGCTTCCTGTCATGAGGTGCTCATCCTTCTTCCATCATGAACTTCTGCCACGTTTCTGCCTTGCTGCAGGCCCCAAAACAACACAGCCAGCCACACATGCACCAAGAGCCAAACTCTCATCGTTTACATTCTGCAGGAGCTTTGTCACAATGACCGAAAGCTAACACAAGTCTCATTTCTTCTCCAGTTAGTTATAAGCAAAATAAAACCCCAAAAATTTTAACAGTGACGTCAGCTTCATTCCCTTTTAGATTATTATCCAGTAGATAATTAAGTCTATAGAAACAAAATTAGAAACTGATACTAAACATAGGGGCTTCATGAAACCTCTGTGCTACTTTGAAACTTTTAAATACCATTTAGTTTTTCAACAATACCTACAATTTTTGATGATTTTAATCAAAATCTTCCTAATTTTTTTTTTGATCTTTTTAAGACAGGGTCTCCCTGTAGCCCCAGCTGTCCTGGAACTCACTATGTAGACCAGGCTGGCCTTGAACTCACAGAGATCCTCCTGCCTCTGCCTCCCGAGTGCTAGGATTAAAAGTGTGCACCACCATGCCCGGGCTGGAGGGATAGCACAGCCGTTAAAGGCTAAGGCTAACAACCAAAACGTAAAATCTTCCTAATTTTTAAGACTAAAACTTTATTCATTTATTTATAAATAAACTATATCTTAAAATTTAGAACCTTCTTAAGTGACTGCATGTATATTATATAAAAGTTTATGCTCATCTATTATCTGTAAACCAACATGATATTAGAATACAAATACCATTCTTTAAAGAACAAAATGTTACATTTGGCTCATTTACAGTGTTTGTTGAATATGCAGGCCTCCATAAGAGAACCTTTTAACTTGTTTTCCATCCTAAAATGCTTTAT